ATTTCCAAGCTAGGAAATGCTAATATATCTGGGAATAGGACTAGCACTTCCTGGTTCGTTTTTGTTATTTAGGGATAAGCATGATTTGACCAAATTTTTCTGATTGATGAGTTTATCTGATGATTTGTGGCTTGTTAGCATGTGCTCAGACGTTTTTTGAAGTGTAGCTGGAAGTTGTAATAGCTTTAGAATTTGTGTAATTACAGCTTGCCTCACTAAAAATACCTTTGTGAGCAAAAGAAACTTGTTTCCATTTTGACTTAGAGATTTTGTTGTGTAAAATACTGTTCTGTATACTAGGGTTGTTAGGTAGAATTTAAGAGGATCTTTTTGGTGATGAAACTTAAAAGTTTGACTTGTAAGAGTCTCCTTTTATACTTCAACATTTGATATCCAACCACTTCTTCTAGTGGGCAATTTATTCATTTTGCTAACATCTTGGTTATATTATATGAGTATATTTGTTATTGTTTCTTTAGCTAAAATCAATGAAACTGATACATTTGGTCCTGGAGATGATGATGAAATCCAGTTTGATGACATTGGAGATGATGATGAAGACATTGATGATGTAAGTAGTGTTTTTCACCTTGAGTTTTTCAACTTTTGTTTGTGCTAGTCAAACTGTTTATGCTTTGAGAATTTTATCATCTTTTTCAGTATTTCTTCCAAAAAAGGTCAGTATTTGCTTTGGGCAGTATGAATGCTAGGCGTTGGAATCTCAACTTGTTTAAGTTAAGGGTGTCTAGAGAGATAGCTATTAAGAAATTTAGCAGGCAGTTATGAGAAATACAAGATTTTATCAAAGAAACAGGCCTTTTTTATTGAGATATAGTTGATATACAATATTATATAAGTTACAAGTGTACTATAAGGTGATTCACAATTTTTTAAAAAAAATATTTATTTATGTATTTTATTTTGGCTGTGCCGGGTCTTAGTTGTGGCCCACAGGATCTTTAGTTGAAGCATGTGGGATTTTTTTTTTTAGTTGTGGCATGCGGACTTCTTAGTTGTGGCATGCATCTGGGATCTAGTTCCCCAACCAGGGGGTCGAACCCGGGCCCCCTCCATTCGGAGCATGGAATTTTACCACTGGACCACCATGGAAGTTCACAGTGATTCACAATTTTTAAAGGTTATACTCTATTTATAGTTACTATAGTTGGCTATATTCCCTGTGTTATACAAACGTGCCTTCTCTTAATTGAAACACTAGTATGTTAGAAGAATAATCTTGTTTGAACCAGTTTCATATGAAGTGTTGGAATTACAGCATAACATTAAAAGCCCTGTTAAAGGGAATTCCCTGACGGTCCAGTGGTTAGAACTCGGGGCTTTTACTGTGGTGGCCTGGGTTCAATTCCCGGTCAGGGAAATACGATCCCACAAGCTGTGCTGCGCGGACACCAAAAAAAAAAAAAAAGCACCCTCTTAAAATTGAGGCCTGTTGCCAGTTATTTTATCTGTTGGATATGCACTATTGGCAAACTCTTGGTTTGGAGTTGGTGTGTTAATTTTGAGGAAAATGCGTTGTTTTTTCTCACTATAAAGCAGTAATGCTCACAAGAATAAGTGTCTCATTGCCCTTCTGCTGTTAAAATATTTAAATGAAATTCAAACTTAGTTTCTGGCAATATAAATCTATTTAATAACTGGGGTGGTATTATAAGTTACTCTTAAATCTGGGTTGGGCTCTTTTTAAACCCTTTTAAATAAAAATGTAGTTCAGGAACACCTGTGTATATAAATCTAAAAATAATAGTAGTAATGTTTGACTTTATTCAAAGGTGAAATTTTAGTATACCTAGAGTAGTTGCTCCTGACCGGGATTGTTTGTGCAACAGAATTACCGGAGATTTTCAGAAATACAAAGGCTGGGAATTACCTGGCGGTCCAATGGTTAGGACTCTGTGCTACTGCCAAGGGCCTGGGTTCGATCCCTGGTCAGGGAACTAAGAGCCCACAAGCCACACCGCGCAGCCAAAAAAAAAACCAAAAAAAACCAAAAACCCAACCGAAAAAAAACAAAGGCTGGTCTCGGGGAAGTCTGAATTAAGTGATACCTACCACCGATATTCTATTAATTCTAATTAATTCTAATTAACATTGCTGCACTTGGCTTATCACGTATCTGTCTATACCTTTATTCATCATCCTTCAGTCCATCTTACATTTTGATGCATCTCCAAACCGTTTTAGAATACATGATGAATTAAAGAAAATTTGAGTACATATCTCCAGTGTGTATTTGCATTTATGAATTTTTAAACATACAGTACTGTATTTCAGAGCATACCCTAAAATAGAAAAATGAAAGGATAAGAAATAAATCCGTCATTCTATTTTTTTTTAAACATCTTTATTGGAGTATAATTGCTTTACAATGGTGTGTTAGTTTCTGCTGTATAACAAAGTGAATCAGCTGTACATATACACATATCCCCATATCTCCTCCCTCCTGTGCCTCCCTCCCACCCTCCCTATCCCACCCCTCTAGGTGGTCACAAAGCACCGAGCTGATCTCCCTGTGCTCTGTGGCTGCTTCCCACTAGCTATCGATTTTACATTTGGTAGTGTATATATGTGCATACCACTCTCTCACTTCATCCCAGCTTACCCTTCCCCCTCCCCGTGTCCTCAAGTCCGTTCTCTGCATCTGCGTCTTTATTCCTGTCCTGCCCCTAGGTTCTTCAGAGCCATATCATTCTATTTTTTATGTTATCTCCCTTTGGAAACCCCTGAGCCAGAGGATTCTTGTGACTAAGCTGTGAATGACACTTGGACAGTAGATTCATCGATGATACTCTGTGACAAGAACCTGACATGGAGCTACTACTGTGTTATAGGTTAAGGAGCGATCCCAATATTTTGACAGCTTAGCTGGGGTAGAAGACCTTTTTTAGGAAATAAAGAACCTAGTCAGAGTACATACCTCAATATGAAGCCACATACACAGAGGTGATAGGGTGAGGATCTAGATAGGGTTAAGCTTTTCTAAGAAAAGTATTTCTCAGTTTGTGCCAATGCTTCTTCAGAACTGAGGCTGGCAGTAAGGGATAGTAAAGATAGTAGTTATTAAAGGAATTTGAGTTATCTTGGACATTTCGTAAGGATCGCTTTGTTTATCACCTGAGAGCCCAACTTCTTCCCTAAGGTGTTTCTCCAAATGGTTTATATGTGTTCTAGCCTTCACTCCTATAACCAGGTTGACTGGGAGGAGAATTTGGTATCTCACTTTTCCATTTCTCAAGGAAGTAACACTCCCTGTGTCTGTTCCCACCCCCCAAATAAATTTCTAATCAGTAGCACAAAAGGAAGGAGATAGTAAACTTTATTGAGAATATTCTGCATAACGTATAGCATTCTGAAAGATGTTGTAAAGATTCAATGACAGCAGACCAGAATTGAGAAAAACCTAGTGTTCAGAATTTCCTCTTCAAACTGGATTTGTTTCCCAGATAGCCTAAGGGGGTGCATGTGTCCCTTACATGTGGTAGACTGTTGGAATATAAAAATTCTTCTTTTGGTTGATCTGATGTTCTTTTTCCTTCCAGATCTAAGTCGAACTCAACCTTTCACATTCCACTTTCTTTGAGGATTTATTCAACAATTTGGATTTGGGCTGTGACCCGTTAAAGAAGATTAAAATTTCATTAGCATGAGTGCAGTTTGTTAAAGCAGACTGATTTGTTTCTAAGGTATTTCTTTAAAAACTAGTAATGCTGAATTCTCTTAAATGTTAAACCCACTTTGTTCTTTTGATGTGACAGAGCTTGTGGGTAAAAAGACCACATCTGCTCTTCTAAAAGAAAAAAAATGCGTTACTGCCTTTCCCACTTTGACCACTTCCAGTAAGTAAATGGATGTTTTGAATAAACCATTTGCCGCATTATGAATCATAATTAAGCCCTAGTTTTGACTGGTCTGTTTACTGTACAGTGAATTTTTGTATATTCCAGTTACCTAGATGAATGTTCCCTTGAGATTTTGGTACAATTTAATGGAGGCAGAAATCTGCATTTAAAGTCAAAAATGATTGGTCTGTTTTTCATATTTAAGTAGCATGTGGCTATTTTTATACTGATTTTGATATTGTATACATTCTTTTCATGATCTTATTTTGCCACTATAAACATCAACAAAAAAGGCGGTTTCTAGAACCTGAGTTTTAATAGCAGTTTTGAATTTGTAAAGTTGGTAGTTGCAGAAATCAAACACTAGGTGGCACCCAGTTATCTTAACATTGGAGATACTGATATAGTTGTCAACTTTTTTTTTTTTAACTTACTGTGCATAGGAAATTTCCCAAACAACAAAAGATTGTTTTGACCATATGCATGTATGTAGAATATTTTTGCAGAACAAAAGGATTGTGTTCAAAGTGTCATTTTATTTTCAGAAGTCGTATACGTGTGAGCTACAATTTTGAGTGCTTTATAAACACTTAAATTAGGTGTAAATGAAATTTTAATTTCATAACAGTTTGTACAAATTAAGCCTTTGGGAAAGTTTCCCTAAGCTGGGGAAAGAGGAGGGAATAACAACTTAATGAAAAGATGGTCTCTAATTTCTGAATGGAAGAACTACATACAGTGGAGAAATATAATAAAGACAGTATCATGCTGCAGAGTATATTATACCCTTACTTTGTGTTTAGGATGTATTTTATTGTGTGTACAGGTGTTTTTTGCTTGTATTTTATTGGGAATTTAGATTTACCCTTTGTTACTTTTTCATCATCAACTCTAGTAAGATGAAATTAAGGGCAGGGCTAGTTAGACCTAACTAGCCACCTTGAAGTGGTATGCAACTGTAAAAGAAATCCTTCATGTAGCTTGTGAAACTTATTCTACTGGTCTCCAGAGAACTCTTCAGTGTTGAAAAGTAATATACAGAGGATTAAACCTTCACATGGCTTCAGAAAATAAGCACATCTTTTTTTTTTTTTTTTTTTTTTTTTTTTTTTAGTAAGCACATCTTTGATCTCATGCTTAGTATAATTTCCTTTCCTAAGCAAACTCTGGAATAAAAATCTGAGGTACTATAAAACATTAAATCAAAAAACAGAAACTAAGAGTGGACAATTGCAGTTGATGTTTCTTACTCTATTGAGTCCCTGAACGCTTAACCTAGGTGGAATGCATCTGAGACCATGGACTGGTTTTTAGTACTCGTTAAGGAACCATCCTTGAAGAGTTGACTTAGTGATCATCTTCATCGGTAATCTAAACCTCCTAAGATATTTAGGCTTCTGTACATAAAAGTGTTTTGGTGAATTTGTGGTATATGTAGATCTTTCCTCCACATTGTTTTACCAAGAATGTTTTGACACTGCATCTGTGCTACAGTTCATGGTAGGGGTGGTGCAACTCAAACATTAGTTTTTCTGCTTAACCTCCTCTAATAATATGGTTTGTCTAAAGATTCTTACTGACCCCAATTCACGTGTTTGCAGGTGACACTTTTTTTTCTTGCCTAGGTAGTAACAGCCCAATCTGGTGCTGTTGTACTCTAGAAAATCTCAAATCATAATGATTAAAATAGTTGGGGTAAACTTGTAGTTCATATGCAACACTACTTGGAGGAATTATTTTACTAACTTGTCTTTAGTGTGGAAATTAGTTTCGTTGATTTGATTATATTTCAAAGGAGGAGTGGAAGTGGTCCTCAAGAAAAAAAACCCTTTTTTGTTGTTATACTGTTTGATTCCTATAATACAGTGCTATAAAGTATGCCCTGAAAGAAAATAAAGTCTTTGAAATCCAAGAATAATGATTCTTACTGCAAAGAGAGTGTAATAGTTATTACTAATGAGTTTGATAGGCGTGCATTTTTCATGCAGTGTTTATTCCACTTCCAATTAGAGTATATAAATAAGTTGTATTGCTAAGGTGGCTAAATAACCAAACCAAGTGTTTGTAAAAAAAGACTTGCCAAGATTTAATTGTTTGACTGTTGAATCTGTCTTGAAAATCCCGCCTCTCAAAGAGACCACCTCTTAAGGAGCCTGTAAACTATGCATGATGAAAATTCTTGTATTTTATTAAGGAGTGGCCATTGGTTTACTCACCACATCTGTGGAATCATGGCTATTAAGTATAGTTGCTTACAGAACTCCTGATGACTTGTAGTTTAACTTACTCTCATCTATCTTGTGTAAATATTAAAATTATAGGACATTGCATAACATCTTGAATAGATACAAACTGCTATCAGTATTGACTTCAGAGCAAGTGAGTAATCTTAATAGGTAAAAGCATGTTTCAAATAAAACACCTAGCTGGATTTATACTTCATTTGTATTGTGTACAGATTTAACAACATCCAGTATTAACTGTGACTTGACAGTGAAATGAAAGTAAGTTCTTTATGTTACCTGTCATAAAGATTAAAAAGATTTGTATTGGTGTGAGATGTTTAGATCTCTGTCCTGCTTAGTAAGGGGAAGTTTCATTTATACAGCTTTTACATACTACTTTGTGTTCTTTTATTTACCTTCAACTACCATCCTTGCTTTTTTCTTCCTATTTTAGAAAAGAACAAAATCTGAACTAAGTCTTACTATAAGTGTGATAAGACACTAGCCTCTCAGGTATGGAGTGAACCGAGGAATTCGGAGGGTGTGTTGGATTGTGTCTTCTCTTCCCTCCACAGCCGCCTAGTGCTTAGGAGGCATGTGGTAGAGAGTGAAGAACATGGGCTCTGGGGTCAGGCAGCCTGTGCCGCAACCCCCACTCTGCCCTTTACCTGCAGGTGACCACGGGCACCTTCTCCAGCTTGTCTGAGCTTCAGGCTCCTCATCTGTAAGATGGAGATGATGAGAAGAGTACCTGCAGAATCACAGAATTGTTGGGAGGATTAATAATGTGTGTTCGTATGTGTGATCCACTTAGAGCAGTGTCCGCCGGTAGTCACTTGATATCCAGGACTGTGTAAGATAGAATATGCACGTCTTTTTTATTCTCTATTTACCATTTCTTTTACTTGCAGTCTTTGGTTCCTATAACAAAAGGAGTGTGTAGAGTATATATTTGTATATGCATGTCGACACAATATTTAAAATAATTGCTACCACCCTCATTTAATTCAGCATAAGACTAACAGATGGAAGTCTCTAAGTTGCTTAAAGAAAGGTATTTTGCAAAGTACCAACTTGCTCTATATTTCTTTAGAGAAAGCTTATAATTAGTAATATTGATAGCTCTGGTCATCTTTCATTCTTAAGTCTTTATTGAGTCCTTTTACCATAGATTCATGACAGCTAATTGGTACTGATCTGGAGGTTTCCTTTCCCATCATTTGGAATTATGTAAAGAAATCAGATGCAAACTATTGCAATTAGAAATAAAATATGAAATAACTTTCAACAGTGTATGCAGTTGATTCTCAAACTGTTTATGACATTTTTAACTAAACTTTTATTCATGATCATTCTTTTCTGAAAATTTTGATGTATGAGGGCGATATATACTTAATCTGCTTTTTATTTTTGTGTTTTTGGTTGTTTGATTTGAATGAATCCGTTTGGTCAGACTCCAGATACAGGGTTGCATTTTCTGGGCAGGTGAATTTGTTACAAACCTGTGCTGAAGACATTTTCTAATGGTAAATCAGTTGTCCAGAATGATCTCACATTTCCAGAATCCCATTCGCTGGACCTTATTTTATACTGTGCAAAGACATAGGAGAAGAAGATATTTATCCTCTGGTCAACTTGCTCACTTTTAAAAAGCTAGTCTTTTCTGTTCCAATCCAGGCTTTGTTTGGTTCACAACCTGATAATGGCAGATCAAAAAGTGGGGACAAAACCCGAGTAAAGTCTCATTGCTGATTTGATCCATTGGACCGTCAGGTTTAGAATTAGTTGGATTCTTGCACGTTTGATAAAGTTCAATGCATATTTATGCTTTTAAATATCTCTTGGAAATCTAAGAATAATCGGGGTTTTCCTAACTTGATAGTTTATCTACCAAAAGCAAACATAGAAACTCACAATTTCTTTTAAAAAGCGAATTTTACTTAAGAATGTCCCTGACAAGCAGTAAAATGATTGATCTTATTAAATCCAACCCTTGAGTACACATCTTTTTAATAGTTCGTGTGACAGGGTTAAAACGTGCTCCATGAAACACATCTGCGTGCTGTGAAGTACCATAGTTGCCTCACGGAAAAACACTCGTGCGGTTATTGAGTTGCAAACTGAACTGGCCATCGTTTTTCATGGAATACCATTTTTACTTGAAAGAACAACAGACAAACTGGTTATTCAAACGTGGGTTTGTGGTCAGGTTATTTTCTCAAAATAACCCTGTCACTTCAAGGAAAACAACTGACAGCATTTGTTGGAGGTGATAAGATTTCAGCTTTCAAGTGAAAAATTAAGAGTTTGGGGAAACTGATGTTGCCACCATTCGCTTGACGGCTTCGCAGTGAAGAGATCAGAGGTGATAATAATGAATGTGACTTTTTAATACTGTAGAATGAAGTGTGTTGACATTTGGAAGATCGTAGCGGAGTCAAGCAGTATTTTCTAAATGATGAGTGGATTTTAACATACTAGTATGAAAAGATCACTGATTCAGTATTAGATTCCACAATGCAACTAACTTTAAGAAGTTACCATTTGTCAGGGTTGGCTGTAGTGTCAAGAGCATACATG